CACGAAACTGCAAAGCGATCTACTCAGAATTGATGTCCACAAATGTTTGTACTGGAGCGGTTGATAAACGTTGCTTTCTTGGAAAAGCGAAGGCGAAACTGCTTTCAGGGGAATAGAACGGGAAGATAATCAAAACTCACTGTAATTTGACAAAAACAAACGGGGTTTATCTGCGATATGGGCACTGTGCAAGCATTTTTGTCCCGGCGGAGATAAGCTCGACTTTTATCTCTGGGATAAGGGGGGTAAATTACTTCGGGGAAATTAATGCTCATATAAATGCTGTGAAGGTTTAGAATTTTTCCTCTAACGGCTAATCTACCCCAGTCGGTTTCGATGACAGTCCGGTCATTTGGCACGTGGTTTGCCAAAAATAATGTTATTTTAACGATGTAATTCTATGCAGGATGGCTGGCGATAAGTGTCCAAAATTTCAGGAGGTGTTTCTGCTGACCACATGCAACTAAAAACGTCTTATAAACCCCTGTCCAAATCTCAAAGAAAAAGAAGTAATTTCAGGTTTTGAGTTTTTTTTTTATTTTTCGACTTACGTCCACTAAATTGCTTATAAACTTCAGAATTACTGACTTTAAAAAAATCTGGTTTCTGCCGTCTGAAAGAACGTTAAATTTTCCGTAAGGAAACTTATTTAAATTGCAGAATTGATGGAAAAGTTCTGCACGAAAAATTCAGAAAAAAACAAAAACGCTGAAATTCGGGATTTTTTGAAAATGTTAATGGTGACTGTTTATAACTACAAACTCCCGGAGCTTTGCGAATTCCTTCAAAAGTTCCCCATTCAATTAGCTTCCAGCGGTATACCCAACTTTTTGGATTGCGCCAAACTCAACTCAAGTGCCAGGCGGATTTCCTGGAAAAGTTAAGCATGCCGACTATATCGAAACAAGTTTTTTCAACAAAATGCAAAGTTTTTGTGCCTTCCAGACGAGCAATCCAAAAAGTTGGGTTTACCGCTGGAAGCTAATGGAATGGGGAACTTTTGAGGGAATTTGATAAACTCCAGGAGTTTGTAGTTATTAACAGTCACCAATCCAACGTTTTCAAAAAATTTCAAATTTCAACATTTTTCTTTTGTCAGAATTTTTCGTGCAGAACTTTTCCATCAATTCTGCAATGTACATAGGTTTTCTTACAGAACATTTAACGTTCTTTCAGGTGGCACAACCAGACTTTCCTACAGTCAGTAATTCTGAAGTTCATAAGCAATTTAGTGGACCTAAGTCGAAAAATTAAAAAAAACCTGAAATTACTTTTTTACCGTTGAGATTGGGCCAAGGGTTTATAGGAAGTATTTTGTTGCGTATGGTGAGTAGAAACACCTGGAATTTTCGACACTTATCGCCAGACACCCTGGATAATAGATGAAAAGTGTGATGGAGGAATGCTGAGTACTCCACCCCTCCCCTAATTGAGGCGAATTGGGTGATTGGTATTTTAAATACGAAAGAATTATTTATAAATGAGTGAGAATGTGAATTTGAATTTAGAAACGGATTGCTTTGGATGCTGATGTGACCTAGCTAACAGAACCCGCAACCCCATCTCGGTGGGTGGACGGAAAAGACCCCCCACACCTAGGGTGGGTAAAGCTACCGGTAATTTATTGTAAATTACAAAAGCTGGAATTGCCGGTGCACTTCAAAAAGGGATCTACTCAACTCCGTACATATGCATATGCACATGAATGCGCAGATTTGACCTTATACAAATTAGTAATCAGTAATCGCCAATTAGCCTCAGAAGCTATCAGCTTGAATTGTGCAAAGTGAATTAATTTCACTTAGAACCGGTATGATGTTGTTCCAGCTGATGGGGGATTCAATCGGAAACACAGGTGAATTGATCGCCCGAGGGCCAACCATTGTCCTTAATTGGATTCCAAGCGCACCAATCACCGATCCGACCTGAATATCGCCAATAAGTGTACCATTCCAATTTTAAATGCGCACGGACATCATCAGCAGCAGTGTAAAATTGGTGCAAGGAAAGCATTATTGGAATCTCATCTTTATGTCAGTGTGGCACTCTAAGCGAAAGCATATTTAAAAATAAATTTACATACGATCGCCCAGTCGTTCTTAGAACTGGGTTCATTGAGTCAATGCATTGATGATGTCGTGTAAAAGCACGCCATTGTCCTATTTTTCGATTATGGATTGCCACCGTGAACGGCACAGGTCGGACATTTTAAATTAAATGAGTATATTAAATAAGTGATCAGGGGCTAACCTAAATATTAATGAATTAACGGAACTAATCAATCTTGAATTATTTATATTCCTCCTATATTGTGTTCCAGCGCATGTGACAACAGTGACACCGAATTTAGCAAGTCCCAGGAGAAAATTCCCAGAAGCTTCCATTGAAGTGACAATCTCTACTGTTCTATAATTACATAAAAGCTCAGAGCAAAGCTTAGACACGGGTATCTTCCAGGAAAGGCGGACAACTTTCAGTGTTTATTCAAAGTTCGTATTCGGTATTTCGAGTCATCAATCATATCTCGTGCTCTGTCGGCAATTAAATTCCCCGAAGGGGCAACAGACAGACGATTCGTTCTCTAGGCTGGAGGATTGGATTTGAAATTCCAAATGACCTGGTGGAGAAGCGGTTCATATTTAGCAGTGGTCTTACATTCTTTGATATAACGCAGTTGTAGTGGATTGTGAAAATATCAAATTTAAAAAGAAAGGGGAGAATTATAAGCGGTGAAACGAGTGGCTAAAGAATGAACTGAAATAATTCCACCCAAACAGAGATTCCTCTCGTTTCGGGTTCTAGGTTCTCGCATGGTTATTGGCATAACAGAGGCTGAAGCAGCATAACAAGAAGAGGCGAAAAGTATAAGAAGAATAGGTGAGGAAAACAGAAGGAAAAGTGAGAAAATTAAAAAGTACGGCCATGCAGTTTTGCCAACTGAAAACAACAGGCGAACGGTCGATTAATCGAATTCAAACAGAGTGCGCTTTGGCAACACTTTTTCTTCGGGAAGGGGCCCCTGAAAATTAACAGCGCGACCGAACAATCGTAATATATATATATTATTATTAATTTTTAAGGGAGTTTTAACGGCTAAGGTTATTTCACGCCCTAACATTTAAACCTCCTATCTTAGGTTAGCTATATCCCTTCTGAGTGCTATAAAGCTCCGATTCCAAACATCACTCATAAACTAATCTATCCTATTGTCATCCAAAGCTTTAATTTATCCTTTTAAAATACTTCATTTATAAGGCCAAATGTATGCAAAAAAAAAACATTTTAAATTATAAAATTTATTCCTTTTCTGTAATTAGAACTTCGAATTTTTGATATTATTATTATTGCTAAATGCTAGTTTATAAACATATTTTACACATTACACACAAAGCCGTCAGTTTTTTTAGTCTAAAACATGTTTATTCCGCTATAACTTTTTATTCTTGTGAATTTTTATTCAAGCTTTTATCGCAATTGTAATAAAGAATTTTTTAACCGCACTCTGTTCATTATTCCGCACACCACAATACGAAATGTCACAATGTAGCATTATAGCATGCTACACCTGAATTGACAACTATGCTGGTGATTATCACATTGGTTTAGTGTAGGATAATCGATAAAGTCACTCGTAAGTTGTACACTTCATTTAATTATAGTTATTAGGTAATATTATTTATATATACGTTTAATTATTTTGTTACCATTATTTTTTATTGTTTATTAATGTTTAAAATGGAGAGATAGCAACAAAATAAAGAAAGCACGAAAATACGAAACTCATGGCACCAACGGGCGACATGAACAGGATGTTGGAATTCAATCAAAACTTCCAAATATACCTAGGTAACAAAAAAGAATGGCAACGAAAGGAAAACACCTTTCGTTCCTTTAAGAATGGCACCATCTTTTGGTACACAGATGTAGAACACAAGAAGGTACAGGGGCAGGGGTATTCGGTCCCGGAACCAAATACTCAGAACCGTGGGAAAATACACCAGTATCTTCCAAGCTGAGTCCACGCAATTGAGAGATGTACTCAATTCAAAAAAACTAAAGGGTACAAAAACAAGAACATAGCTATCATGTCAGATAGCCAAGCAACCATGAAAGTACATTCAAATATCATTAGTTCAAAGATGGTGCTGAACTGCAAAACCGAATTAAACATAGTAGGTAACAAAGTCTGTAAGCAGTTGCTGGGTCCGAGGATATTTGAAAGAAGGCAACAGAGAAAGCAGTCACCCTTGCAAGTAAAGGGGCTGCTATACCGCTGATAGGACCATAACCCGTCTGTGCCATACGAATCCACACTATCAATGAGTACCTCCGACAGAAGGATAAAAAGAAAATGAGGGAACAATGAAATTCACTCATTGGATACCAACAATCCAACAACCTAACACATTAAGGAAGGAAACAAGTGATAGATAGTATCAAAGGAAGCAGGAAAAAACTGCGAATCTAACAGACTTCTTAACAGGTCACTGCAACCTAAATGGACATTTATAGAAACTTGGTATAATCCAAGATAGTAATAGTAGATACAGCAGAGAGACAGAGGAGACACCAAACACACCTACTAACAAACTTTGGTGCCACACTGTCCGCCGGAGGATGTGTTTTGGAATGTACAACGTGACTGTAGAAGAGATTCAACCACCGAAACCGGTCTCCTATGCCTACTAATTAAGTTCTTTGATGAAACAGGACTCATCGGGGTGCTATAGGGACGTAACAGGGGATACAATAGCTCTAGATAGAAAAGGGCGAGTATAGTACACCCCGACCGATACATCTACATCTACATCCGTAAGACTGCGTCCGATCTATCAAAGGAACCTGATCAATCATTACCATCCAATTGCAGTAATTTGTTTCTTTAGGTTTTTTTAAAAAGATGAAAAATGGAAATTGACGTTGGGGAGCTTTTCGTGTCTATGGAAAGCGCATGATCTCAAGGGGGGGGGGATCGGTCCGACATCCCCCCTCTCGCTTACTTCTTCAGTCCAAACGCAACTGGCTTGCGGTACGTGTCTCCTCCACTGGATTTTTTTTCCGGCACGCAAATAGCGTCGTTCCGCCCCGCCCGTTTATACGTCTGCGTGCACACCGTGCGTTCTGGATACTGCGCGGCGACGTCTCTCCTTCAAACCAGATCCAAGTCGAATGGAATCAACTTCCTCCGGAGGCGAAATCAGGTTAGTTACAAACATTATTTAACGTTACACGGGAATAAAGTACGTTGGAAAATCATCTGCGCGCAAACCTCCGAATTTGTTCTACTAGAAATCCTTTCTACATAAATTTATGTCAAAACGACTGCACAAATCATAAAACGCTTCAGTTAGGAAGAATCTCTAACGCGTGACCGTTTGGCGGTGCCCAGGCTTACCAACTGTCTGATGTAGGAAAATTTTAAAATCTTAAAAAAATTAACGTAGGATTGTTTTTAATCAAGTTTAAATTTAAAAAACCTTTTAATAAGAAAATAAAAAGAAATAAGAAAATAACGGGGAGCCCCGGTTAATCCCTATAATAGAGTAATGGCCAATTGGTAATAAAAAAATATTTTTAAAAATCGGTTACATATTCTATAACATAATGGCATTGTCAATTGATCAGTTTAAAAAATCTGCAGCCAAATTTAACAATTGGCGGTTAGCTGTTAATTTATTTACTTAAACAAGATGGCAAAATGTGGGAGCGTTTCATAACAAAAAACAATCGAGACTAGACGGACCAGGTAACTGGACAGTCAGCAAAACGGCATATTACTAGCAATGCGTTGCTTTAAGATTTTGTTTTTAGGTCGGCATTTGGCCGCATTTTAATTGTAAGCCGTTATTTCTTAAAGTTTGGATGATTGTAGATACAACACTATGAATAGAATAATCTTAAATATTTAAAGGGCTTTAATTCACAAAGAATATTTTCATTCCAACGTTTTTACAAGGATAATCTTAGTAAGATCGAATTTTAAAATTAAAACAAACTAAACTGAAGCGATTATCCAGCTTCAACCTCCTTAGAATTTAAACTTGGATAATTTGGTAAGTAGATATAACTGTAGATGGCAAGAAAACCAATGAGAGGTCTGCTGTTCCTAAGAAAATAAATTAAATTTTCGAATAGCATTAACATAGAAATACAACATTTATACGTGTAATTATTTAATGTTGGAGAGATTGGAATAATTGTTTAACTTTATAGTACGAGATGGTACATTTTTGCTGCGAAAATTAATTGTAAATATTTACATAATAAATTTTACATATACATTTACATAATAAGTTTAAACACGTGCGTTGGTGATCCGCAAAAGTAAATTTATAAATAAGTAAAAGGTTTTAGAAATTTATGTCGTTAATTAATATTGACTAGAAGAAAACAAGACAACAGCTGTTTGGCAGGCCGGGTGTTTTTCTTTTTTTAATGTTCTCTCGTTCCTAGATGTTGGTGGATCCGCAAATATTTGTTGTAGTGGATGATGTGGTAGCTCTGTTGGTGTTATCGGTGTTATATTTATACTATGTACAAGTATACTAAGTTCGAAGAGCACGTCGGTTGTAAATTTGTAGTTTCTAGGTGACTTCAGTGACCTTAAAAAGTGAACAGGGAAACGACAATTCTTAATTTGACCTTTTGGGATGCGGAATGCATCTGCTGTGATGACTACTTGTTTACCTCATCACGGAAATTTAACTTTTTCTTCCCATTTCATAACTGTTGTCGCAGTTTCGCTTCGTATAACGTACTGAAACTATAGATTTATCTATGGTAAATTCGAAAGTGATCGGTTTTTTTCCATGAATACGTAAAAAACCACGTTTTTTTCTCAAAAATCGCGAAGTTTTGGTATAAACGGCGAAAATTAATGTTCCAGAATTTTTGAATGTATTAATGAATGACTGATGTTAGAAAAACACTTATAAAGCCATCATGTTCAGCATAAAAGTTTCCAAAAAATGAGACCCCTTCCAGGTGTGTAACTTAAAAAACTGAGAAAATATGCATTTCCAAAGTTGGCAATCGTGCAAAAATCAAGTGATCAGTTTTTTTACGACGGGCTGTGTAGATACACAAATTTTCGGCAAAGTTTATATGCCTGATCGGCAGTGTATTTGCTTTACAACATCAACATGGTCGTCTATTAAATAAAATTAATAGTAGTTTCCCACGAATTAGAATGTCACGAAGTCCTCCTAAATACTTAATACTGGATTGGTTTTATTTCGCTTTATAAACTTGTCGGAAATGTAACATATTTCTGGGAGCGGGGTTGATCTCATTAATCAAAAAAATGAAGGAATTTTATTTTGCAAGTCTTGACTGGGTGTATATGCTCAATAATCTCTACTGTAAATCACTACTATAAAACAAAATCGGTTATTTTGGCGGGACATTTTCTGTCGAGATTTATCGAATCGAGCGAGAGAGAAAACATTGCAGAAATATTTCCGACCAAAATTCCAGACTCGCGTGAAAGCCATCTCTTTTCAACCATCAATCATCACACGGCAGATTGGCGATATGTCGCTTTTTGACAATTGCGTTTTGTTAATTTAAAACCCCAACTTTCGGCTGCCTTCGATTTAAACGCTTTTAGTGAATTAATAAATGCATAAGTGACAATTCTGGCAGGATAGATTTACTTAAATATTATGCTTATATTCACTATTTTTCGTGGTCCGCTTGACCAATTAATAACATTCAATTAATTAAGGTTTTAAGTTGAGATAAAAAGTCAGTGTCACGAGCGGGATTCGAACCCACGACCTTCGGCTTAATACGCCGCTACTCTATCACTTGAGTGGTAGTCGTGGGTTCCAATCCCGCTCGTGACACTGACTTTTTTATCGCAACTTACAACCTTAATTAATTGAATATTATGCTGATATAAATTTTTTGTATAATTCAGATTTGACGGTCAGTTTGAGAATGGCAGAGAAGCTGTAAGCTAATTTCAAATTATGTTGACTCTTGATTACCTTCTCTTCCTTATTTGACAATATAAATCGAGGAAATGTTATAGTTTTTTTTTTTTTTTTTTTTTTTTACTTTAGTGGCCTAAAATATTTTTATACCACGCCTGTAGTGACCATCCACGTCCATGTTGGTTGATATGTGAAGAGCAGATACAGTGCACCGTCGGAGTGTGTAGAAAGACGCAAAAACTTGTTCTTCATTATCTTCTGGTCCTACGCCAGGAAGGAAGGAGGATAAACGTGCGGGAGCATAAAAATGAGTCCGACTAACACTAGGCCACCGCGATCCAATTCAGTCACACATTTTGTGGAAGTTTTTCCGTTCCTTTCAGCATCCGATCCTTTATCCTAAGTTGGTTGATATGGGGGGGGGATATAATGGGTACTAGAGAAGCGCAAGAATTTTCTCATGATCTGCAGAGGGGCGAAGTCATGCAGGTGGAGCGCAGAAAAATTCTTTCTTCTTAAGGCCCCATCGGCAAGAAAAGAAGGACAATTGTCTAGATATTTTGCGATCTAGTTTCATCAAAAACCGTTTCCTTAAATTATTTGATCCCACTTATCTTCTTGTTAGTAATATTTTTCTGATTATGATGTGATAGTACGAGCAGTAATGATTTTGACTGTATCTACAGTCTGAGCGAAGTCAATCCACTTTGTTTTTATGTTTCCATTCCCGGTATGAACATTGGTTTCATTATCACGTTGAAGGTGGATAACATTCTTGCCAAGAAACGCCATTGAAGGCCTTGACCGAACATTAACCCAAAAATAAAACGGTCGGTACATCGGTATGTAGCAGTGGGAGTTGTCCTAGTAGACAGCATGACTCTGACCCCCCACTTTTTTATGCATCAACACATCCAACCGTTTATCGACGACCGGCCGTATTCGGGCCCCGATTAATTCATGTCGGCCCTTGGCGAGTTTGCCATGTTTTTCATAGTTCGCCCATTCCGCTCGCGATGAATGGCACCAACGGGCTAGATTAAGGTAAATTTGGCTCCGCTTTCAAGGCTGGCATCTGTTTTCTTACAATTCTTCACGGAGCGAATGAAATAAACCGATAAAGTAACAGGAAATGAAAACGAGGACGGCTATTTATTTCTCGGGGGATAAATAAATCTCTTTTACCGCAATGGCCGTTAAAAGTTTTAAAAAAGCCAGCACAGTGAAACTTTGATGTCAAGTTTAGTGGAACTCGATAAAACTAACTTCTAATTAAGATTTCTTGAAGTTGATCATACAGGTTGGATGAAGGGTTTCGATCCTTCATCAACAATCGAGGTTAGGTTCCTAAATTAACTTTATTAAAATGTTGGTATATTTCGAGCTGAAGATCAAGATTTTAACAACATTTGATCGAAATTGTTAATCCTAACTTTGTTATCCATCTTTTTCATATGCATTTCAGTATTTCAACATGTAGAGGTGATAATACATTATTGAAAGTACTTTGACATAAGTCTGTTTAATTGCTGGCATAATTTTTACATTTGTTATGTAAATTTGTCATTAAAGAAGTTTTACACTAATATGCGGTTCAAATTTTTTTGTTATTTATCGTTTTTAACGCTTTTTACCTTTTTGCAATAATGATTTCTTTGATTCGTATTGTAGAGGAAGAGGTTTTCTATTTTTTGAATTTGGATTTATATAGGCTCAAATCCGCTCAGTACATACATACAAACATGTGCCGAGTTGAGCCTATTCCAGCTTTTGCTATTTACAGTAAATCGCCGGAAGACACAAGAATCACCCACCCCGGATGTCGATAGTCCGGGAGCAGACCTCAGTCATCCGTTCAGCTGCCGAGGTTGGGCCGGGGTGCTGTCAACAGCTAGGTCAATTCAACACCCAACGCATGCAGTTCCAAACCCATTCGTGCTTACGTTCATTCTTGAATACATTCACTCCTAGTTACATACCGTTCATTCAATTAGGGTGATACACACGATATTCCTCCATCACATTATACTAACCTAATGGAGGGTCGATGGGGTACTCGATATTCCGCCACAGACCCTCTCGCATCATACATTCACGCTAATAAATACATTCACTCTCAGCACACGCTAGGTACACAAAATTATCAGTACTATATCGAAGGAAGGACGAATCGACGGTCTGGATATCACCAGTAAGTTAGGGATCAGGGAGCTTTCAACCTTTATTATAATAATTATAGTAGGTAACACAATAATTATCAAAAA